AATATTACTGATGAACATTTTATATTCAGTGATTCACAAAATAAATGCCACTGACCAGCCATGTAGCAATCTGGCAAAATATGTGTTTGTTTGAGCCAGATCAAGGCACGATACACACGCACATGGTCGCACATGATCAGGATCCTCATTTTGAGCCGGGGAAAAACCCTGAAGGTCACTGTGACCTTTGACCTTTGACCACCAAAATCTAATCAGTTCATCTTAGAGGCAAAGTGGACGTTTCTGACAAATTTGAGGAAATTCCCTTAAGGCTTCACATTCACAAGAACGGGACGTGAGGTTGGATAACCTGAAAACACAACGCCTCCAGCCACGTCTGTCGTCGGCATGGAAAGAAGCAGAAAAAATTGTCTTTGCAAACGTGTCTTGAGGAAGGAAATGCGCTCAACACATTTGTTAGACCTCAAGAATACACACACTTTGTTTGAGTGTTAAACAGTTAATACAACACAAAAACTCCACAGGGCACCTTTAGGTTTAGTCTGTATTTCTTATTCTAACTCACTATTTACATGTTGTATCATTCAGGGGTAGTTTTCTCAACACTGCACAGTAATTATGTTTATTTGTAATATCAAAATAGCACACTTTATTTTCATAGATCTCCAAATAACCCAAACTCACCATACCCAAGTTGTTTTTCTCATTATTATTACTACATTAAACCTGTGAGATACTGATGTGGTAATCATCTATAATCTGCAACTTCATCCCTCCAAAGTACATAAACATAAATAAACACACACACACATGCTTACACTAAACTTTTACTGCATCCCATCTGCCAGCTTCCCTCCACCAGCAAATGACTTCCTGCCCGTGGCTTTAACTTTCTGGGAAATACCTGCTGACTTCTTATTAGCTGCCATCAAACGGCAGAGCCTACAAAAACATCATGTTGCTGTATGGGACGGAGATTTACAGCTACTCATTACACTTTTCTTGATTCACTTCCTCAGACGTCAGTCTCTCTTATTTTCACCTTATCTCCTCTCCCTGTCTGCTTTTTCCATATTTCTTCATCATAACACATCTGCCACAAACTGCCCTCCTCTAGCTCCTCTTATATAACTAATAACCGCTTCCATGTGACAGAGACCGACAGAGAGATATTACACGCACAGATTTAAAGCCTGTCTCCCAAACTCTGTCACATCTCTCTCCTCTGTCGCTCCCCTGAGGCTAAACTGTCACTCGTCGATTTATAGACTTTAATCCATCGTCTCATCACCTAACTGCACACACCATCTTTCGTTGTTTCTTACAGTGGGAATAGTGGCAGCCACTGTTGTGTGAGTTTTTAAAGTGCTTCATACATTTGTTTTTAATTTTTGGTCACATTTTTACAGTTTTAAGTCGCCAGTGTGTGAAGTAGACAGACAGAAAACACACACACTAATCTAAATGTGATTTAAGGATGTAGTCACTACTCTAAGTCTGACTCGATCAGGACTAAGTGCTCATCGAAGGGGGGTCGCTGGTCCAAAGTAAACTCATCAGAAGTGAGTCATGATGGCACTGACTGACTGATTACTCTGACCCTTCAAATCACACTGGCAGCTCTTAAGTAAGAGCCGCTCTCTGCTCCGTTTTCCCTGACTCTTCTGGGAAAAGATTATTCCCCTTTAAAGGCATTTTGAGTGAAAACATCCCATGGAGCTCGGCTCTGTGATGGTTTTACCATGAGACCCCTGGGAAACACCACTGTGCCCAGGAAAGCTGGTGATGTGATTGGACATGAGAGCCCACTTTACTTCTTCACTGCTCTGTTTAGAGAAGACAGCAAGAGGTAGGAGAGATTCAGGGGAGACCACACTGGACAGCTGCCTGTCAAAGTGAGTAATCTGATGTTAATATATGAGAGAGTATGTGAGGTGGAGAGGGTGAATTTATCATATTCATTCTTCCTGTCTTTTCTTGTGTTTCCTCTTTGCCTCACCTTTTAAACATTTTTACGTATGCTGTAAAGCCCTGTGAGGCAAATTGTGATTTGTGATATTGGGCTTTATAAATAAAATTGATTGATTGATTGATTGATTGATTGATTGATTGATTGAAACACACTTTCTTGGCTATGAATTTATTGATTTTGTTGGTTTAGTTCGCCCAGCAGTGTGTTCATACATAATCATAATCATACCCTGTCATTAACTTTCACCAAGAACTTATTCATCTCCAGAGGACATGATCTTTTGAAGTGTTCACTGATGCCGTGACAAATGTCCATGTCTAATCCCTGTCTGTGTTCTCTTAATGACAACGTTTTACTGCTGCCACAACAACAATCGTAAAAATTAAGCTCAGCGTTAGTTCAGGCAGGACACAAGGTCAAGCTCAGCTCACATCCCAGCTACATCAGCTGATCTCAAACAGCCCAATCAACAGATGGAGCAGCTGAATGATAGAAGGGAGTCAGCTGATAAATCACATGATTCCATTCTATGAAAACAATTGGAAAATCTCATTCAGGGCGCCCTATTTAAACTGCTCTGGCCTGGCTACTATTGCTGCTTCCTCTACAAGCCGCTTTGCAACCCGCCTCCACCCCAGCTCCTCCTTTTCATGCTGTGTCTGACTCAGGGGTCGCGTTAACCGGATATTCTTGGTCATTGACCGGATTTTTACAACAATGACCAGAAAATCTGAAGGCCGTCGGTCATTTTGACTGGTTGCAATTACCACCCCTGCCCACTTGGCGGTGGAGTGCATGGTCAGTGGTTTAAGTGGCTGCCGTTTTCACACTGTCTTTAGAGAAAAAGTCATTCATCTGCTTCATGTAGCGTTGTTGACATAACGCCCTGGACACACCGGACACGGAACCGAAACACGGCGCCCAGCAGTGGAGTTTTCAGTCAGCGCCCATGTTAACCTACCTGACTGTCCACACAGGCCGCTGAGCAGAGCGGAGCGCCTGCGGAGGCAGCACTTCAGTTCAGCGCTTCAGTTCAGCGTCTGGTCTATTTTTTACAGGAGCTGCGAGCGCTTCTGCCAAGCTGGATTGAGCGGATCGTACCAAACAGGAAGTCGAACACAGAAAAGACGAGCTCCGGCCAATTTTCAAAATAAAATAACAACAGCACGCACTGCATGAGGAGAAAATACTGTGTTTATAATTTAAAATAACACAACAGTGCATATCCGAACACATTTTTCAGTACCCTAATGACTTCATTACAATTTTAATTTTGTGTCACCAAGCCTACAGGCATAACTACATAACGCCCTGGACACACCGGACGCGTTAGTGACGTCTGGTGTGTCCAGGGCAAAGCCTAATGGCACGGGTGTGTGGATGTCTGTTCATCTTTTCGTTCATGTCCTTATTAATGCACACTTTATAACTTGCTTGTTGGATTTATTAAAAACGAACGAATGAAAACTAAATATCTTTGAATATCTTTATTATCATTTAAAAACGAAAATTAAAATGACCGGTAAAAATTATTACTGGATGACCGGATTTTTCTGACCCTGTCGGTCAAAATGACCGGCGATGAAAAAGTCTAGCGCAACGTCTGGTCTGACTTATCAATGTCATTTCTGTTTGTCATTGATGCTGCTCTGTTTTGTTCCTGGGGGGTCTTTGCTGCTGCTCTCCCTGCCTTACCCCCAATTTCCACATACTCTGTCAGCGGCGCGCAGTGCAGCAACGTGGATCTGGAGCGACCGACGACGTGTACCCTCGCCTACTGGATGCCTTTCTGGAGCGTCGCACAGTGTAGCAGAGCCGCAAGCTCACGTGGGAACTGCGAGATCACGAGATAAAAAGCAATTGATAAATTGTGAGCCCTACCAAAACAATAGTTCATTCAGAAGAAGAAAGAGAGAAAACAAGTTCAACTTGAGATCGCCTTGCTGTTCACATTAACATTACTTCACGATTTTAAAAAAATTGAGAGTTTACAATCTGTAGTCTGTGCATTGTGTTGTATTTTTAAATTTACCAGATGCTATGTGTGATCCGTTTCTGGTTTGGTGCGATCTGAACTACGTGGCTTGACATGAAATGGAAGCGTAGTCCCTGAAAAATAGACCTGGCGTGTATCTCCGACGAAGCGGAGCGCCGTGCAGCTTCTAGGACGCTCCAGAGACGCTGCGCTCTGCTCGCTGTGGAAATGCAGCTATTCACTAGAATAGGAGCGTATTTGCTATGTAGTGCGCTACGCTGCGCTGTGTGCCGCTGACAGAGTATGTGGAAATTGGAGGTTAGGCTTTCCGTGTAGGTGCATGGAAGGGCAGGGAGGTTTATTCTGCCTGCCTTAGGCTCTCTTTGTAGGCCTAGGAAAAAAGGAGAGGCCCCAGAATAGAGTCATACTGCCAAATATAATACTGCACATGGAAATAAAGTGCTCTTTCTTAGTTATTCTCATACACCCAACTATTGTGTGCGTACTCTAAAGGCCTTTACATCCCGCAGTCCCGCCCTACCACCTCCGGTTGTGTAGCAGTTTTCAAGCGCACCGTTGCTGTGGCACGCCAAGAACGATTGTGATTGGTTGAAAGAAATAAAAAAAGCCGGGGCATTTTTTTCTCCAATCTTAAAGTGAGAGTCGACCCAGCCAGACCTTTCTTTTCTTGAGAAAGGTCTGGTGAGTGAGACTACAGGGCTAGTAATGCAATTTATCTTGCAGCTTGTTCTCAACACATCATCTGGGCAGAACTTTCTTCTTGTGTGATGACCAAGAACTATTGTGTGATTGGTCAGAAATTTGATGTGGGCGTGGTTAATGTGGAAAAGCGTGTGTGACATATGCGGCAGTGGGAGGGGCCTATGGGGAATTCCCAGGAGTTCTGCAATTGAGTTTCTCGTGAAGTATGAAATGTCCTGGCCAGAACGAACTTTGTTCTTATTATTGCCACCTCGAGAAAAAGAACAAAATTTTCTGTTCTTGCGGAGTATGTACAGGGCTTCAGGACTTAATCATAGTCATGTATGATTTGGCCCGTGTTTAAGAGTGTGTGTGTGCGTGTGCGTGTACCTGTGGCCTTCTCAGGGTTGTTACACATGAAGCAGAGCCATCCTCCCTCTTCCTCACTGTAGCCAAACAGATCAAAGAAACGCACCTCCTCCAGCTGAATCTGGAGACTGTCCATGTCCTGAAGACAGACAGAAACAAGACAGAATATTCACTGAATGTCTTGTAACTACATTTGAATTTCTACTGGGTACTTCTTTATCAATATTGACACAGAAATTATGCTGACGCATCACAATCGGAAAAGCACAAGTGTAAGTGATAAAATGAATGATGGCTGGATTTCATTTAATTGCTTAAGTTTCAGGGGCCTGTTATTGTGCACTCTGGCTCACTGTCACAGTGTACTGGGACAACTGAATAAAACAGAGCCTTGCTTAATGTTATTAGTAACACCTGTGCTTTTCAACTAAACTCCTATTTGCATGGGACTAGTATGACCTGGGGACCTCATGTGAATTATAGATCACACCCCTATGCATGTGTTTCATGCAGTGCAATAGGAAGGAATGATCAAAGTCTGTATTTAACTTGAACTCACTGACATTATCCCCGGATATCATGTGCACAGTCATTTGTGACTCCACTCTACATAACACAGACTCACCACACAGCACCATGAGCAGTGATGTACAGTGTTAACCTCCTTCTTGCTTTTAAATGTGGGTTAGACAAACAGAAATGATTCGACCACACACTGTCACATGTCATTTATCTCCCCATCTTCTGAGAGTTCGCTCTTCTGATTGATTTGAACCTGCTTTCTTGCAAACGGGTCTTCACGCTGTGTAGTGAAATGAGCCTCCTGCCCTCAAAACGCCATGAAAACAATTACTCATTTATAATTACTGATGCAGCCTCCATAGTTCTCGACCAGGAAAGAGGCAGAAACAAGGTGTGGAGGAAACACAGGAAACACAGCACAGGACTAATATTATCACACGACCTCTGTGTTTGGTGAAATATGTTTGGTAATTTGCCATGGGATTTTTACTTGACAAATTACGGACATGGTGGATTTGTGCAGGTTTAAGATCACAGACGACCTTTGCAATTATTACAAATCACCAGAGGTCCCACAGTAATACTAGTCTCACATGAACAGGGCAAAGTCAAAACGTCTGCTGTGTAAAGGCCAATCTGCCACTTCTGAGTCTGATCAGTCGAATGATATTTTCATTTATTTAGTCCTGCATATTAGATCTGCACAGTGCACACACAGCCTATAGTAAGACTGGATTTGATTAGCTGTATATTTAAAAAACACAGACTGCATCATAAAGTTTCTTTAATGATTTCTTATAAAGTTTTTCCAGCGTCCTTTTGTGCTTTGTATGATATCTGTGGAGACAGGAGTGTCAGCGTAGATCAGCACAAACAATTACTCTTCATCTTCAGCTTGAACAAAATACTAGTTCAGGGCCATGTGTTTTTTTGGATGCAAAAATAAATATGACAACAACAGTAGCGCTGCTCACATTGCACACCTCTACCTCTACACTGCTATTGCCTCTAACAACTGGTGCAGCCAGATGAAACAAACAAAGGATCTGAAAGTTTATTTACAGTATCAGGTTTATACTGTTTTTTCCTGTTTTCTCTACTTTCTACTACATAAAATGCAATAAAGAGAAAGAAGAGATGGAAAGAAAGAATTGGGAATTTACAGGAGAGTTTAACCAGCCGACATAAATATTTAAAAGCTTGTTAAAGCAGCTGTACATGCAGAAACACACATACACGCAAACACAACAAGCACACACTAATGATAAGTGACCCTCAACTCTCAGTGGTAAAATCCTTGACATTCCAGTTATGGACTGTGCAAATGTGCATCAGTGTGTGTGTCTGTGTGTGTGTGTGTGAACAGAAAGTAATGGAAACCAATACAAATCCCTGCAGACCATCTGCACATGGTAACAGTTATACTTCACTTGAAGCACACACAAACACACTTCAGTGACACTTAAACCCATGAGATAATACATATTTATCTTAGACTGGTCTGGAGAAAAACAGCACCATTTAAAGAGATGATGGATTACTGTCATCAGTCTTCATGACAAAGAGGCAGTCATTCTCCTCCTGCGTGTGTGTTCATACTGTATTTACGCATCATCTAAGGTCAAATCCGCATGTACATGGGTAATTTTGAAAACAGGGCTTTCCCTTCTTTGTTTTTCTTGTTTTTTTTTCCGTCTAAAAAGTCCACTCAAGCAGTGTTACAAAATAAAGTGAAATCTGTCCAAATGAAGACACAATTCAAGCCCTGTCAAAAGCATGGCAAACCAACAGGCCATGATATAACTGTAACCCTAAAGCTACGCAAAGAAGAAGAAGATGTCTGCCATTTCAGGACACGAAGCCTAATTTGTGAAGCTTTAATAAGGAGATACCAGCGTACAGTCTGATGTCACAAGCCAAAAACGAGGAGTTTTATAGAGGTCTGTTTTCTGTGACCAAAAATGCAGATTGCAGTTGGATGAAAAGTGAAAAGGCATAGACAAAGCTACATTTTTGTTTAGTTTAGTTTATTTAGGACCTATACATGCACAAAGTGGAGAGATGTCAGAGTGAGGGGGCTGCCCTTGGTGAGGCGCCCCGAGCAGTTGGGGGGTTCGGTGCCTTGCTCAAGGGCACCTCGGCAGTGCCCAGGAGGTGAACTGGCACCTCTCCAGCCACCAGTCCATGCTCCATATTTTGGTCCGGACGGGGACTCGAACAGGCGACCCTCCGGTTCCCAACCCAAGTCCCTATGGACCGAGCTACTGCCGCCCCCAAATACACATTCAAATACACATGTGGACAGGGCCTAAAACCAGTATTTCGGTTAGGGGTGGGAATCACTGGAGGCCCAACGATACGATATTATGAGCCCAGTCTCACTCTGAAGTCGTTAAAATCCAGCGCTTGGGCAGTGACTTGCGGCGTCAGAAACCAATGAAAAAAGGCGTCCTTTAACATCGGCATGATACGGTCACTTGTCGTTACAGTTTAGCCGTGCCCGGCGGCATCAGGAGGGAACGCAGAGGGACAAGGACGAAAGTTAAGGTGGCGAAAGTCTGAGTGGGGTGGCAGGAGGGGCGGTGGATGGGTCCAACAAACACCAACTTTCACCCGAGAGAGCGGTGTTCACATCCCATAAGATTATAAAGCTAAACCCTGATTTTTTTTTTCCTAAACCTAACCACATACATTTGTTGTTGAAGGAAAAAAAAAAAACGTCAATTCACGGTGTTGTACCGACATTTATTTTCAAAGAGACTGTATGCAAACATTAAATTTCCTGTGAAAACGAAAGACGAGAACCTGACACTGTGTTCAAGAACATCAACAACCAACGCACCCAGGGTACCTTGCACAACGTATGTGGAGGTGGAAAGTCCATGACCAAACACCAATATGTGACAAGGTCAGAGTGAGAATGTGTTGATATTATACCAATTTTAAACATTTTAAACACAGCATGTGGAGTATTGCAAAAAGATGTATTGCAAAATACTGCTTTTTGAAGCTTTTTTCAACCTTAAATTATGTCTCCAAAAGGAAACTTTGTCAACATGTTTTAACTAATGAGTTTGTTCATCTCACTTCAGCATTTTTTATTGCAGCAAAATGTAGTGGACTGAAAAAGCAACTGATTTTGTTATTCTAGCAGGCTACCAAAAGTTTAATATGTATTTGCAATATTAATAGCCTATAGCCTATATTAAAAAAACGATATTTGGCATCTTTGTATCAATACAATATTGCTTCATCACAATACCGCTTCATCCTTTCTCCGACCTGTGAAGTCCTGTTAGATTTTCTGATGATCCGTTTAAGGACGACAGTAGTTCTTCTCACCGCAGCAAAGTTGGACACACATGTAGCGCCCAGAGGCAGCAGGATTTGACTGAGTGTAAGAAAAACAGGTAGCTGCGATGGTTGAACTACCAGTGTGTTTGACCTTTTGACCTATGCCCCCGCAGTCAGTCCTTGATGTTAATGAGCGAGGATGTAAATGAGAACGCTGCTTTTCATGTGTGTATTCCCATTTGTACCACACACACACACACACATACACACACACAGTACTGGTCATGAATAAGCGCCCGTGATTGAAAGAGTGGCAGAGCATGTAGATTCATCCATACATCACAGCCTCTCTTTGTGTTGTTACAACTTAAATAATTGAGGTGAAAGGGCTTCGCCTGCGGATACAAATAAACCAGGACCATGTGTGGCTGAGAGAAATGGGCCATCTGTGGGTTCAAGCCAACATTACTATTCTGATATGATTCAGGGGACTGAGCAGTCTTCAGGAGACACATGTTGCAACTGTGAGAAATCCTGATTATGATTACTGGAAAGTCCAGACAGAGACAGTGTGAGAGGCAGAGGGGAGAAGAAAGTGCAAGTAGAATGGACTGGATACAGAAAACTATACTATATTCAAGTACAGTTTTGAGGTACATGTACTCCATCCTTAACAACCTCATGCTTGTACTCCACTAGATTGCAGGAGGAAATATTGTGCCATTTAGTCCACTACATTTAGGCTACAAGTTAATTTGCATGTTAAAATTTCACTGAAACACACAATGAGTTTATTGAATACAATGAATTCATATAGGTTTAATTACCAAATGGTACTTCACCAATTTCAAACATGAAATTCAGTTTACTCATCATGCCATCTAGTTTTCACGACGCTCTGGAGAGATCTTTCTAAAAAGATGTTACACAGATAGGGTCTATTAAAAGATGCTATCAAGTTGCATTATGGGAAGTGAAGGATTGAGGGTTTTGGGGTGTGACTCACAGAGGACAAAAATCAGGATATCTTGGACTCTGCTTTGACTTTGGCTGGTTTTAAAAAAATTGTATTCACATCTTTTAGCTCTGTTTTTGATCTTTACCAATTTCTCAGGGAAATATCCAACACATTCTCACTCCAATCTCGTCACATATTGACATTTGGTCATGGACTTTCCACATTCAGATACGATGTGAAAGGTACCCTGGGTGTGTTGGTTGTTGACGTTCACCTACTCACCTAACACAACCATAACGCCTGACCCATTGCTGGGACAGAGCCACTAACTCAAGCTCCGGACATTAACCCATGCTACGATTGTA